CTCAAATTAAAATAATTCTCAGAAATTCTGTTTTGGCCGCATAGAAAAATTTAGAAGAAAGTCTATAGAAAAAAATAAAGGTTCTTGGGTGTGGGTGTGTAGGGTGTGGATGTGAGTGTGCGGGGTATGGGTGTGGGTTGTGGGGTGTGGGTGTGGGTGTGTGGGGTGTGGGTGTGGGTGTGGGTGTGTGGGGTGGGGTTGTGGGTGTGGGTGTGGTTGGTGGTGGGTGTGAGTGTGGGTGAAAATGTAAGTGTTATAGAACTAAACTCCAGTGCACACCCCACACTCACCTACATCCACACCCACACCCACACCCGACACACCCACACACACCCGACACCCACACCCACACCCACATCCACCTACATCCACACACGACACACCCACCCCCACCCGCACACCTCACACCCATCCACACCGACCCACACCCACACTCACACCCTCGAGGTATCACATAGATTAATGATCATCGAATAGTGGCGGAGTCATGGGGCTGGAGGGCGCTCAGTCTCACGTTGCGAACCTTTTGAGTTCCTTCTCCAAACGATAAATTTTCGAAGCATATATTTTATTCTCAAAGTGGGGCTCATATGTCTGGTAGAAGGACTGAGCTTTTCCTTTCCCTCTTCCCAAAATCAGTCCCATCTAGCCCGAAATCTTGACTACGCCACTATCGTCGACAACTGAATGAAACACCAAGAGAAACAGTTAACAGACCAGAGCTTAAAGAACACTCGTACTGGTATCGACACCCTGAGTCACAGTCTTTTTACTTTAGAATCTTCGTAAATGTTGACATTTTGCTTTCGTATTTTTTTCTATAGACTTTCTTCTAAATTTTTCTATGCGGCCAAAACAGAATTTCTGAGAATTATTTTAATTTGAGAATTTAGAAAATGTAAAAGATAGTTTTCTGTTTAAATTGGAACATCTAATTAGTAAGTATTGTCGGTATAATTCAATTGTATGATAAACAAAAAGGAAAAAGAAAGTTTTTCAATAAAAATAAATAATTGAGGAAGAGAGAGAATTAAAGTTTAGATTTTTATTTTTAAAATAAATACTAAATAGATAAGATATTCCAATTTATAACTACAAGTATGACTAAAATGTGTAAATAATAAATAAAATTTCTAATTTCAGACAACATGTGAAATGCCACTTTTACTGAAATATCTTAGTTCGGGTCGTGTGCCATTTGAGTCTTATGGCTTTTGTAAATTTTGGATATCATTCAATTACAGTTTTAATACAACTATCATCTTTCTTAATTCTCAACTATCCGTTGAAAGATATTTATTGATATTTCATCAAAGTTTTTTAAATCGGTAAATTTATTTGATTTGGTTTTTCTTAAATTAATTTAAAAAGAATATTTCTTGAATATAGTCATAAGATATCGGTTCATTATGTTCCAATGATAGTATTAGCATTGACAGCAGTTGTTTATTCATGTGCAGCAGTTATATTTGCTCCATGTGAGGAAGTATTCGATTATACAATGCAAATATGTGGTGGCTCATGTTATCAATTATTGCCTGCAAATGGAACATTTGATGTTATTTCTACAGTAATGATTCCATTATCTATTATAATTGGGTTCAATGCTATTCTTATGATTAGAGTTATTAAACAAAAGCGTCGAATGTTACGAAATGTTTGGAAAAAAAATCTTGGAATGCTAATACAATTACTATATGTATCAATATTACATGTCGCTGGATACATACCAGTTAGTATTCTTGTCTCAATTGTTATGACAAACAATCCTCCACCCGAAATTGCGCTTGAATTACAATCAAGTTGGATTCTGATTAATGTAATGTATATTGGTGTCGTTGCCAATCCTTTCGTTTGTATGTTTGCTATACCGGAAATAAAAGAGAATATTATTTTATTTATTGATCGAAAAAAAAGACGACAACAACGACAAATCAATGCTAATAATGATAATTAAACTCATAGATCATCAATTAATAAAAATAAAATCTATTAAAGATTTTAAAATAATTATATTTTTAATAATAAACTATATATGAATATCTAGATGTCGTATCAAATTACTATATTTACTAAACCATTATGTATGCATGAAGGGTTGGTGTGGTGTGTGGATGGGTTGTGTAGGTGTGAGTGGGGTGTGTGGGTGTGGGATGTGGAATGGATAAGATTTGCACCGACTACGACAGCCACAACCACACCCACACCCACACCCACACCCGCACCCACACCCATACCCACACCCACA